TATTGGGTTCTTTACATTTCAGGATATACATACATTGGTTTTAGGACAAAACAGAGGATTTCTTTTCATGTTAATGTGCAGCTGTGGAGTGGTATATGATTTTAACTTCTGAAAAGTAATTTTGAGATGATTAATTGTAGCTAGTTTAAATAATCAAAGAGGTTTGAGAATCACTGATCATTTAGGAGCTGGATGCAGGGGAGGGTTTCACTGTGTGATTTTAAAAAGATGAAATAACAAGTACTCTCTTATATCAGTGTAGTAGCATAAGACATCCTTGGATGTCAGTATGAGAAAACACACTGAACTCTAAATAACACATGAAAAGAAATACAAGCAGCCCAGCATTCTCTCACCTTCTTCACAATGATGACCTTTAAATCCAAGAGGGCAAAGGCAAATGTATGAGTCTGCTTTGCTCGCAGTACAGGTACCACTGTTGATGCAGGATGCCTCATCACAGATGCCACTGCTGCACTCACCTAAACACAGAGCCAGAACATTGATGTATCAGAGAAGTTTGTCAAAGAAGACTTATTTGGCTGCTGATCATTGCTATTAACCACCACAATTTGCTCTTCTGCCTAGATTCCTTCCCAATTTGTCAAACAGTATGCTATCTAGGCAAGGTAACTTGATTTTTAGCACCTCTTTTTAGTACTATACCACCAAGAGATCTTAGAGATAGAAAATTAGCCTTTACTAACAAACCATGACAGTTGTAGCAGTTGTAATCATTCCCTGGATTACTTTTCTTCTGCTCTCATTCCTATATTTATTTTCTCATAAAATAGAAATCTCTCCAGATTGTTTACAAGCACCGTGACTTGTTTAATTTCAATTACCTTAAGTGCTTCTTTGTTCACTGTAAATTCATGCCATGGTAAGCATGGAAGATGTTAATCACCATCAACTAATCTTATTAATTAAAACGACATTGTCAGACCTCTTGTCTGCATGAAAAGGGATCCAGATCACCACCATATGGGCTTTTTAAGAAGCATTTCTACTATGCCGCCACATCAGCTAAAATAACAAGGAGATGATTTCTTCTTGCTAGAATTAAGCTGAAATTGTAGAACAAATAATTTACTAATTTACTTCTTAAAACTGACATCTATAGATTATGCAACCATCCAACATACATCTGATGAAATTCTTGTTAATTTTCTTTACTATCTATCTCCTATATTTTAGTTTCTGGTTAAATAATTATCCCTTTGTTGATAGTAACAAACTGATCTTATCCATTAAGAGACCCCAAAAAAGACATTTCCAGTGCACAAGTGTAAGCAGGTCATTTGCAGGGGCAAAACTGTCTATGACAAACTAAGAATTGCACATTAATTTCAAGGCATATTGAACTATCACCCCTGAGATGACACAGGTGTCATGAGGCAGCTCTTGCAATAAACATTGGAGAACAGTTTTGTTATCTGAGATGGCCAAGAGAAATCTCGTAAAACAACCGCAAGAAGGTGATATGCCCTTTTTGTTCTGTTTAAATGCAACACTCTGATTGTAAAGACTGTTTCCAGATCAGGACTCTACAAATCTTCAGTAAGGTACTGGCATTAGTACAGCACCAGATATACAGCTTGATTTCCCATCCCACAGCCAGAAAGTAAAGCACAGAGACATATGCAGATGTAAATGGCTGGTGTGCTGATTCATCCTGATGACTCTGCTGTCCACAGTGGAAAATCACCTTTTCTCACTGACAGTGGTAACTCTAAGGTCATCTGGTTCAATTCCCTGCCAGACCAGACTCGTCTGTATTGCACACATACAGATCATTTTTCATTGTAGAGAGGGAAGGTCTGAGTACAGCAGTCATAACACAGGGCCCTAGAGCTAACTCACAGAGCATAAGCAAAATATACAAGTCCCTCAGAAGGGAACAAATTCTCTTTTTACATGGAAGGGGTGTAAACCAATGGTGTTTACCATTACCCCTTCAAAGGGCAGGCCCAAGCCCAGCTGTGGGAGCAGGGGTGCTCACAGTGCTTATAGAGCCATCTTTTCCCTGTCTGGGCTGCATTGTAATGGCCACAGTGAACTGGAACAGGACAGTATCTATCCTCTGAGACCCCTCCCATACTTATCAACTATTGTGAGTGTGACAGAAATGAGCAGCACTAGCTCTGTTTCACAGGCAAGAAAACAGAGTCAAGACATGGCTAAACAAGGATCTAGATCCATTGCGTTTGAGACACAAACAGAAAGCTAAACTTGCAATTTATTTATGTTAAGCTTAACTTATATGGCATATTATTTGCTAGTCTTCCCTGGCATAGTTTCCTATAAGTCTGTGCAGCCACATAAGGACAGTAAGGCTCTGTCAGTCAGTTTCAAGTCACACGTGGTAGAACCCAGCATTTATTTTCATTGACGTTGATTGTTAATGCAGTAGTTTGTGGAGCATTCATGGATGTCAATAAAGCTAGCTGCAGCTCAAGAGGCAAAAGAGATTAGGGCTCAGAGAACTTCAGCAGGGCTTTCATCTATCTATCTAAATTCCATAGATTCTCACTCTGTCGTGAAATTACTCGCTGCTTCCAAAGTCTTATTCAACATCTATTTCTTGGGCCACTCTGTTCACCCCCTTTACTGCAGGGAAGTTTGGTCATGTTATCTAGAGAATACAGAGGGATTGTTAGGAAGTTTCTCATCAATCACTTCCTTCTTGAGATGCCAAATGCACAGCTGTAGAAGAGAAGAAACATGACTTTGTGGCTGAAGCATGGCCCAGAGAGTTCAGTGACATGGGATTTATTTCCTGCCTTTACTACTTGTTTTCTAACTTGGGTTTACTCTTACTCAACTGTTCAGAATGGGAGGTCATTAAAGCAAGGTCTTGTTGCTCTGTCTTTTTTTCAAGTGCTCAATACATAGATGAAATAGAGATGAGTAAATAAGACAGGACCAGTTAACTAACTTCACTACTTCTCCATCTTTTAATCACTTAAGGGGAGATGTTATAATACCACTTCATAAATCTGTTGAAATAATTTATTCAATGGTATTTTTAAAACATACTGGAAATTAAAACCATGGAGGGCTGACAGGAAAGCCTAGTTGCCTCAGCAGTAATGGCTTTTCATGGGAAAAGCACTATGTAACAGCGACAGCACTGCTGTGGGTCTGAAAGATCCTTGTATTGCTTTGGACAAGTGCAACGATGCCTTTAGGCAAAACACATTTTGTTAGGTCCATAGTGTTTGCAATGCAAACACAGCATGCATACTATTGATTTCAGATGATACGACTGTGTCGGTCAGGAGCGTAAGAGGCATCCTGAGAGGTGTTTGCAGAAATACTGGTGCAGGCATAATTATATCAGCAGTGCTGAGTCTCCTGTTTGCTCATGGGAACTGGTTTTACCATTGTGCTGGATAACTACCCTCAGAGGGGGATTTGGTATACTGCAGGGATGTTCACTGCACAGTGTGAGGCCTCCTACTACAGACCCAGCAAAAGCACTGTGCAAAGGCACAGAGAAATCCCATGCTAGAAATAGAGACCACACCTTCCATCTCTCAAACCTGGACTACTGCTCAACCTCTTCAACAGCTAAAAAAAAGCAAGCCCCGGGTTGTCACTGATTAAAGACCCCACGCTATTGCACTTACCAACATCAGCACCACTGAGAGCTTTCCCTAATGGCCAGGGTCTCATATCAATTATCTTTCCGTTGACGCTGAGCGACTGAACACAGCCCTGAAACCCACGGTTGGTGCCTGCAGCTCTGACCAGCCAGTACACACTGGGGGCACCACCAATGTAGAAGGGAGTCCGGAACGTAATTTTACTATATTGGCCCTGAAGGGAAAACAGAGGATGACGTGATGTAAAACAGATGTAACACAGGATAACTAATTAAGCCACACTGTCTATAATAATTTTTTTTCTCCACAAAGAATTTTGTCAGGGGATATGCAGGTTGCTTATTGGTAATTCCTTTCCATTAGTCATTCCTCTACACAGCCTATCATTTTAAATGTTATTTATTTTATTATTATGTTATTTTTAAATGTTACTTATCATGATGAATGCCACCATGATAACATGAACTATTTAATGCAAAATAAAAACGTCAAAAATCATTATGCTCTAAGGAGCAGAGATTATGCAGATTGTGATCTGTCATTTGCTGCAATTTCTTCCTTTACTTTTGCCAAAATTATCTGTCTTCTAAACTCTTAAGCACTGTGGGACACAGACCAATGGGATATTGCCTTTTGGACAGAAACCCGCAAGTGCTTACTGTGGAATCGTAATAAAATGAAAAACAAACAACAGTAAAAACTAAGAAAATGTATGAACTGATACAACTACAACCTCAGTGGGTTCTGTTCATGTTGCCAGCACTAAATTTACTGCCCATCTTTTTTTAACTTTAACCTGCCTATAGAAATGTACCATACAAGTTTACAAACACTGCTATAATGCACAGGAAGGAACAAAACCAAAACAAACAACATCCCACCACCCCACCACCCCAAAGAAAAAAAGAACACCACCCCAGAAAAAAAAACAAAAAAACCCTTAACAGAACTTCTTGGACCATTGACTCAAACTTCAGGCTATTGTCAACGGAATCATAATTACTTCCATAAATTGATCAAAATAATGTCTTTTGCCTCCTACACGAAGGCTGTTTCAAAACGTCACTGCCCTTTACAAGAAAACATTCAAAATTACCACATTTATTTTCATGGCCAGTTTTTACCAGTGTGTGTCCTTCTGCTAGTGATTACTTTTAGCCTAAAAGCTCTCTGGATTTTTCACCCCTGCCCTGCCTCCCTGGTATTTATAGCAATAAATTATATCTCCGTAGAGTGTTTTGCCAGGCTAAATAAACCATGATTATTGAGTCTACGAGTGTTCACTGCACAGTGCACTGCAGAAACACATCAAATGGATCTCAGTTTCAGCAGGGAAAAATAATCCAGGTGGAACTTGTGGCTAAAGAGAGTTTAAATGTCCACAGGAATTCATGGTGGGCATAAGCCAGGGCTGTGGGCATCCAGCTCTCCAGCTTGTCTCCAACCATTTGCCATCTTCCATCACCTTCGATGCTCCTGCTCCCCTTGGCCTGTCAAGCTCCACTTCTCTGGTGGGCACTAAGACTGTTCAGGTTGAAATGAATCAGGGCAGAAAAGACTACAACTCTGCTGAGACTATTCACGTCATTCTAACAAGGAAGGTCTGGGGAGGACTCCCTGGAGCAACACTACTATAGGAGCAGCAAGTTCTGGAGGAGAGGAGCACCTGGAGCAACTAACTTTTTTTTTTTTTTCTGGTCTAGCTGCAGCTGGAAAAATGTGCGTCCGCTGTCAGACTCTTCTTGTAACAGACTCTGTAGACCATAATCCTCCTACTAGCCCTTTGTTGCACCTTTACTTCTTGGATGCCATCTTTCCTGGCTATGGGTGATCACAGCCCTGCGTAACCAGATGCAGTCTGGTGCTCAGTGCTGCATAATTAGTCTCTACTGGACCTATCACTCCTGATTCACAATTGCCCTTTGCGTGGCCTCGTAGCATTGGTAACAGCGCAACATGTGACAGACATTGAAATCCTTTCCTTTGTCATTTCCAGCTGATGAGAACTCAATGTCTAACTTTTTTTTCCCCTTCAGTGCCTCCACATGAATGTGTAAAGTAAGAGATGTCTGAAGATAATTTTTTTCAGGGCTGGGGATGGCATGCTAATTGTGGCTATCAAATGGAAGAGTAAACACATCTGAAACAATTTGCAACTGTCTTTTTTTTTCAGTGCATTAATTTTTCATCTGTTTTCTGGCCTGGCAACAGATAAGCAAGTCAAGACATCTTTCCACCTGGCAGCCTCGTATCAGATTGTTGGTGTTACCGTAAGTCAAGGCAGAATGTCTGTCTCCATCACTGTGCTTCAATCTATGTTCATGGTACGCGTGGTTATGTTTCTGTACACAAACCTTGTGTGTCTATATGCATATGATACATATACACTTATGCATCTAATTTTTCTGGCTGAGGAAGCAGAGCAACTCTCTGAGGTCTGAAGAAGCAAACCGTCAGGGACAGCAGCTATAAAACCTGGCACACTTTTAACAGCAGCCTCTATCTGTGACTAGCGAACTGCAGCAGTAGAGCAGCACAGCAGCAGAGCAAGGATGGAGGACAACAAGGAACCTTTGATAAGGTTCAATGCTGGAAGAATAACTATGCGATTTCTAGACTATGTCTGTGGAAGACTAATTTGTACACTGATCCTACTTCACTAAATGCCCCGACACTGATAAATAAAAATGCACTTTTAAAATCTGATCAGACTTCTGCTGGCAAGAAAAATGCCATCATAATCTTGAGAGAGCCCAAGACTGAGCTGCGCATGCAGGACTGCCTACCTGAGATTTTCCTGTTACTGGAGCATCACTGTCCATCCTGAGCCAGCCATTCCTCCCATCTCTGAATAACGTGACGCTGTGCCAGTTCCCCAGCTTGATTTTGTTTTCACTCGTTATGACTGCAACTCCAGTGCCACAGTTGAACCTGAAAGCATGAGACAGAGGGGGCAAGGTGACAATCTCATATTAGACAAATAACTGAAAGTTGGGTTTAGACTCCAAATACTCCTTTCACCCACAGAAAGATCTGTTTCAAATTGCATATTAGCAGACCATGGGAAAATTATACAGCAGGTCTACCTATGACCTGGTTTAGGTTTCAGACTTGATTATCCTTCCTTCTCCCATGGAGAAGATTTTGCATCCTCTGGCCATACTAAGTTCATTGCAAATCTTGCCAACAGCTGAAACTGTTTCAAGATGTAGAGTATTACAATCTGAGTTCCTGCTATCACAGTCATTTCTCCCGTGAATTTTTCTAGCTCCCTGGTGAAAGACAGTGATATATTAATAACTCTGTGATTCTGTATCAACCTCAGTATTGATTGACAAGGAGACCTCCAGGAGTCCCTGTGGAGCTGAATGTGCACAAAACGTGCCATTTTCTCTGACTGCCATTCAGTGCTTGTGAACATACACACAACTGAGGCACATCACCCACTTTGTTATTCCCCGATTTTAAAGGAATCACCCTCCCAAGTAAGGAGATCCTTGAGATACTCCTTCACATGCTTCCTATCTATGGGACTGTAAGAAACCCCCTCCATCTTCATTTTAAAAACCTGCAACTTCCATCTAAACAAAGGATGTAAGATGAAGTTCCAGACCCCTTCCTGGCACTAAATCCTTTATTTTGCTACTTTATCTGCAGGTCCTTTTGCTGTGAAGACAGAATAGTGAGTGTGCACAACTCATTATAGAATAAGCTTAGCAAGTGCAGTGGCTCACTGGCATTTCTGATTAACATAGCAATGAGCCCTGGACTAATGCCTTGAAGAAAACGGAACTTTTTGCTTTTATACCATAAGAGTAAAAAGACTTCAATAGGGCATATGTCCACATACTAATGAAGGATGAGAAAAAAAAATTAAAGAACATTTGAGTAAGTAATACTGACCATTTTGTGCACTGCATGGGGCAGAAGTCAAAGACATGGCAGATATTATTTACATATATCAGTCCCAGGAGGCAGCAATAACCCCTTCTCTTTACATCAGAGTTAGGGTTGAGATTTTACCTGAACTGGATGCTACGTCGGATGATTGCGAGCGACATAAAATCGCCACGACCATGTTCATTTTCTCCACAGTATAGCAGCAAACCATCTTCTGATTCAGCCTGCAATCATTGCATCAACATGAAAAATCAAAATTTAAGCCTCACAGTAACAGAAAATGCAAGCAGCACCGGGGTACTTTTCTCTGGGAAAAGAACAGCATTTTTCAGATGGAGTTTTTAACTTGCAGAATCAGAAACTGGTTGATCAGTTTTGAAACCTGCATCTGAAGAACCTAGAGAAATATTGCTTTAATGCTAAAATGGTTTAAGAAGATCTCTTCTACTTACATTATTGTACTATTAGACCTCAAACCAAGCCTGAAAGCACCGAAGACTGTCAGACATCCCATATGAGACCTTCGAGTACAAAGTCTAGCATGGATGTCCTCACAAGTGTAAGTGTAGACACACCAGACACTGCACATGAGTATGCACACCTTGCTTCACATGTTCAGTAAGCCTGACACTTTTCAAGTGGAACAACCTGTGCAGGCAGGATTTCTCCACATGTGCATAGCAGCTGACAGAGTGGCTTTTCACAGCCATCCTACAACTTCAGCTGACAAATTGCCAGAGGAGTGTTAGATCACCACGTGAGGAAACAGCTTGCTGCTGGTCCAGTGACAGTCTCATGCCTAGGCTGTGAGGCTGGCAAGTCTGCCTTCCATGGGAAGGGGGACATCCAAGAGCTCGACCACCCACCCTTCCTGCAGGCAGCCCTACCACCTCTGCCTTAACACACAGACAGCATTAACATGAGTCACTGCGGAATGTACCCCACCACTTCAGACCTGCAGTTTAAGTAGTCGAGTATCTTGCACCTTTAAGTAGCCAGCATCCCAAACTTCATAGATGGAAAATAATGTCTACTTAAATCCTGCAGTGTAGGAATGAAACTCTAGGTATAGGGCAGTACTTTGCTCAATACAAGAAGGTCAGTTTCTTAAATACGTACCACTTCCAAACTGTAATTCACAAAAAGTCAGGGTGTACTTCAGCCTGCAGCTCATTCACATGGCTATACCCTTGCCAATGTGCATTGCCACCAGTGTCAGTGTTACTACTCCCAGGGACTCTCGTATGCACTGACCACCAATAATGGATGCAAACCTTTTAGCTCATTTTACCAACTTGATAACCAAGCCTAACCCTAACCCTAACCCTAACCTATACTGAAGGTAAGTTATTGTTCCGTTGTTCACAACATCAGATTAAGCAAATAAAATTTAAAGCTCCTATGTGAGCTTGGAATTGCTTAAACTTACCCTAAATTCAAGGGTAATTTGAAATGTCTGATAGGAGTTTTTCAGTGGTTCAAAGGTGATGTATGAGTAGCCAGAGAACTGAGGATACTGGATAATAATATCTGAAAAGCAAAGACAGAAGCATGTTGTTTAGCAGTTTTCTCCTATATAAAAATCGATATACACATTTAGCACTAGATAACATCAGGTGAAAATGCAAGACAGAGTTCCTCCAGAGGACAACCATTAGTCAGGAGCAGTCAACAACCAGTTAACCTATTGCCTTCTCCTCCCACCACCTTTCACAACTAATTTCTTTATTCCCAAGGACCCAGTGAACTTGGAAAGAAACAGGATATAGAGGGCCAAATCCTGCTCAACAGTTTAAGCGCTGGCTTCTGTGAAGCTTTCTCCAGATTTTCATCCTTGTAACAGAATACAGAACCCATCTACTTTATATTTATCTCCTTTTAAGAATTCATTTAACACAGAGACAACAAAGTACTTTTCTGTTTTGCAGGATTATAAAAACATATGCGGGAAATGTGGCCAGAGTCCACACACATTAGTCATTGCTGCTCCATAGCTGCTGCATCCAGCAACCGCTGAATCCTTGGATGGCCCTTAAGAGCCCAGCAGCTCCCAGCACTCCCCTTCAGTCAGCTCAGGGCAGAAGGGAGTGATGGAGAGAAGAGGGTTCCTGCAGGCAACGCTTCATCCCTGGCTGCAACAGCGGCCCTTCGTATTGCTCCTCTCAGCTGGCGTTATCAATCCTCACCCTTTGCTGACTTATGTTAGAGGGCCACCCCAACTCCAGCACAGAAAAAAGACAATCAGAGAGGTGTCTTACTGCTACATGTACAGCTCATTTTCCTAAGAAGCGCTGAGGACAGACCTACCTTCAGGCCTGAATTCTTATTTTTGCAGTGGATCAAAGTCTAATGAGGAAGGATGAGGAGTCCTGTTCCTCTTTGTTATTTGTATAACGAGTGAATTTTTCTTGTATATTTGGATCTGGATACACTTCTCTCAGCTTTCAGTTTGCAAGGCATACATTTTAGGCTGAGATGAAGAGAACTGGTACTATAAACTTGAATGCAGCAGCAGCAGACAGCAATTAATTCATGTCCTGATCATAAGCAGAACTGACTGGACCAGAGTACCATGCAGCTGTTGATTGTGAAGAAAAGTCTGTTTTCATTCAGATTAATATACTATTTAACAATATTGGCTGCTGTGGAGAAATGCACTACACCGCAATATTGGTACATGATGCTACTGCTTACCAAGGAACAACACACTCCCTTGTGAAAAAATGGTGGGTTTGGACTGACGTTAACAAACCCACTCTACAAGTTGTATACAGCTATGTCAGTTCAAATAAATCCTTGACTTTTCATACTTGATCAAGGCCAAAAATCACATCTGCAGCTGTTCCATGTGACTGAGTCACAACAGATTGTTTTCAGAATGAGTTCTCTTTTTACTCCAGCACTGCGAGAAGATCAAACACCCTCAGTGTCTGTATTCCTTGTGGACAACACTGCGTATGGCAAACGTCTAACACAAGCCTGTGGAAGGAACATGTGTCCTCTGCTGTGAGGCGGGGCCTTGGCGGACCAGATCAGCATGCAGAGGGATAGATCAGCTCTTTCTTAACTGGTGGGGCAGTACCGCTACAAGCAACAGGACACTTTCTTTGCATGAGCTCTGGCATTCATCTGACCCCTTGGTCACCAAACCAGAAGAAAAATAACTCCAGAAAGAAAAAAAATTATTTTTTTCTGGCCTGGTAAGCAAGCTGGAGTGGCTCATAAGGTGATCAGTTCAACATCAGACACAGTGAAAGGGCTAGGATAGGTCTGCAGAGGGATAGGGCAGGAAGGCAGCAGCAGAAGGAGAAGCAGGACAGCCTCCTTCAGCTCAGTGAGCTCTTGCCTCGGCTCAGTCATCCTGCAGAGAGGCGAGAGGATGTGTGGCAATTCCTGACTGTGACAGCCACACCTCCTCACATTGACCCATGCTTCAGGCTTTCTGAACTGGGGAGTGGGTTTTGTTCCTCTTGCCCTAGGCTGCCTGACATGAGTGCTGGGGCTACCACTCCAGTACTTCTGCCCTGAAGGCCATAAATAAACCTCCTTCAGAGATGGTTTTACAATGGGAGCTGTGTCTCACATCCCTGCTGCAGGATAGGCATCATCTGATGGACCATACTGGAAATGTAGGTAGTGTAGGGTTTCAGCTGCAGGCAAAAGACAAGGGCCAAAAGGGGGGTTGAGTGTCCCTGCTGGAAGCTGTGGATGTCACACCTGGACCCTGTCAGGCCTGGGTTTCTACCAACATACCTTGCTCCATCATCCTCCCACTACTAGGCAGGGGAAGGAGGATTAACCTCCCCTGTGCACCTTCATGGGTGTCTCCAATGGGGTCTCCATTCAGCTTTATTAAAGAATAACTTCTCACCTCGCTGAGGAAAGAGAAGTAACAAGAACAATGTCTGAACTGGGACATGGAAGCTGCTGCTGTCCTTACGGATCTATCATCCCCAGCCTGCTATTCCCAAAGTGCACTTCGGTTAGTTTACCATAAAGCTGCTCCTTGCTCCAGACAAAGAGAAGCCAGCAGCGGCGGGCACGCAGAAACCTACCTTCCGTACACATCTCTCCTCCTTTTCCCAAGTTGCAGTGGCAGCGTGAGCCACCCCGGTCATAGTCGTTGACACAAAAGCTGTCTGCAGAGCAGATGGCCTCATCGCAGGAGAGATCAAAGAGGCGCGTGGCAGGAGACACACCGCCCCTCCTCGCTGCCCGAGCCGTAGTTGCCCTTGCTGTGGCTGAAGACCATGTGGTGGTGGGAATGGACGTAGTAGGTTCAGAAGTGGTTGTAAGGACCCGTGACAGAAGCCTGGAACTAGACCCTGGTGTGACCTTGGTTTCAACCAGAAATTTTCTGCTGCCTCCTTTGATAGCAGGAAGTGGTCTGAGCTGAAAAGAAATCAAGAAACATAAATTCAGTAAAACCTAAAATGCTACATGGAAAAGAAATTCGTACCTTCGAAGATACAGATCTGAGGTAACAAATTCATCCCCACCAAAGAAAAAGAAACAACCACATTATTATATCTGAACATGTAACATCAGATATTAAACTTCCTGACAAGATCAGACACTTTAAATTACTAAGACTGTAAAGAAAACAGAAATGCTGAAGTGGAATCTTGAAATTTACCTCTTCTATGTAAATGTCGTAGTCTGAGTCATCTATATCAAATCCATCATCATCACCAGTCACTGTGTCTGTGATGTACCGATGGCCATAGCTTCCACTTCCTAACTCCTCAGAGCCTAAAAAAACACAACTAGCATATTCAGTTCATATATTTTTTTCTCTTTACATACAGCGACTCATGCAGCAACTCTTCCCTCCCTTGATAGAACAAAAGGAAATGGCCTCAAGTTGCATTAGGAGAGGTTTAGATTGGATATTAGGAAAAACTAAACTTTCACTGAAAAAGTGGTCAGGCACTGGAACAGGCTGCCCAGGGAAGGGGTGGAGTCACCATCCCCAGAGGTGTTCATGGCACCTGTAGTCATGGTGCTTGAGGACATGGTCTAGTGGGTAGGGTGGTGTTGGGGTGGGGGGTAGACTAGATGTCCTTATAGGTCTTTTCCAACCTTAGTGATTCTGTGATTCTGTGATTCTGAGATTCTGATTCACAACACTGAAATCTGAAGCGGTGTTAATGCTCATGCTGTACAGACAATACAAGTGTCAATCTGAAGATGGGAGATGCTGCCCAAGTGATACATATGCAGCTTAAACTAAATGAAGACACTCATTTAGCCACTTACTGTGGTTCCCAAACAAAGCAGGAAAAGCTCAGTCCTCCCACTGCAAACCAACTTTTATCCAGCTTTCTTCCAGGAGAACTGCTCTGAACTTTTTTCAGTACAGACAACATTTTAGTAACTGTACTGTTCTTAGATCAAGCTTTTCTCTTTCATAAATACACAGTCCTTTATCTGCCCCACTGGTCTCTAGATAACTGGAACAGCAGAAGAGATGCATCTATGTAGGACTTTTCTGGCACACTCTGCTTAGGACTTTATCTCTCTCCACTGGCTCCAATGATTCTGAAAGTAGGATCCTAAATGAATGTTTAGGCTTTTTTTTAAAAATGCAATTGAGCACCTAGAAAAAAGAAATGTGCACAAACATCATGGGTTTTTCATGTGCATAATCTACCTCTGCCTCTCCCTGGATTGCTGAACTGCACTGTGAAGGACTCCAGGCTGGGAACAGCCAGTTTAAACAGTAAGATGATCCTTGCAGAAAACATCTGTACTTTTCTCCACCTTATATAGCAAATTCTGCTTAAACAATGCTTTATGCTTTTTAACTACAGTTTCATGAGGAAAGATATTAAGGGTAACTACATCACTACCGTTTCATGTCCTTTCAGCCAGATTAAGAATATAACATATTTGGTAACCAGTGAAACAACAGACTTCATAAAATTTGCCTTTCCTCTAAAATATTCTGCGATCACTTAAAAACAGCATGGGTAATCCTTGCTTTACTAAGTCTCTGTATGGGCTGACCATGTGTGCTTGTTTATTCTAGCAGCCACAAGCTGCCTGTATTTTCCCATGAGTTAGTAGGACCTTCACATTGCAACACACAGAGATGCAAAACCTTGCTGGGCAGTGGCTGTCTGCAGAAAGGAGATCAGGCAAGAAAACACCAGTTTTCCACCTGATGGTAGTGAGACTTTCAGAGGCAGCAGTGTGGGCACAGTGCTATCTGGCCATTTGACCCAGTCTAATAGGAGTCAGTCAACTCCTACCTCAGCGGAGAATAAGGGAAAAACATCTCACTGACCTGATTCAGGGAGGAGAACACTAGTCTAAATCTTTTGTACTATCTCTCTGCCATAACTGCAACCCAAAAATCCTGGCAGACAGTTATGAAGTCAAGCATATGTGCACCAGGTCCAAATGCGTGACCTGGCTGGCTGACTGGCCACCCACCATACACTCTGTGGGAGTTACTTATCAATGGGCTTCACATGTTACATCAGCACACAGAAAAATCAGAGGCAATCGAGTAGAGGTAATGAGGCATGCACACTTGCAAACAAAACACCATGCTAGACTGGGAGTGAATGTGTATAAGCCTCTCCATCCTAACATGTATACCTAATTACGTGTAAATAACACAATTTAATTGTATATTAAACAGAATAATTCAGCACAGAGTTCTATCAACTGAGCTAAGCAGATTGCTCACATCTTTATGTCAGGTAATGAGATGAGGCCAAATGCACAAACTATACCCAGATTATGTGTGCGAGTGACTGTGAATGCACAGGCAAAGGATTGTGACTGGAGAAACATATTACACATTTATGAACTGGTCCCAGTTTTACATTTATTATGGAAAACAATAGTTATTATCAAATTGACAGCAAAACCTCTTAAACCTAGTATTCACTTATATAGTCTCCCAGGTTAATCACCATCACTGGATGATTTTATTCCAGGTAAGGAATAGAATAGAATAGAATAGAATAGAATAGAATAGAATAGAATAGAATAGAATAGAATAGAATAAATAATTCAGTTGGAAGGGTCCTACAACTATCATCTAGTCCAGCTGCAAGGTTGACCTCTTCCATCTATCACTGCATCAGAATTTCCTTCTTTGGCAACAGTGATTTTATGACATGCATTTCTACAAAAAAAATTCAGTGTGCAAAACCTCAAACATAAATCTTATGAATGTGACTTGAAGTGATATGAACAAAGCAGATCCCAGCACTAACTCAGCTCTTAGAAGATGCAGCAATTTTCAGTTCAATAGAATTCTGCTGTTTTTAAGTCAGCTCTGTAATATTTCTCACTGCCTTTAAACTGTGTGTCTGAAACTATTTCAGAACTACTTCAGTTCCTCTAATGGATAAAACTGTAATTTACCTAAGAGTAACAAAAGCCATAAAGCTAAGCTGGGAAAAAAAAAAAAAAGGAAAAATCACAATCAAGTGTCAGGGAAAACAATCAAATCTGTATTCAAACAAGCCACAATACACAAACTCCATTTTCTAATTTAGCGGTCATAAGCTACAAAATAAACATCTGTTGTAGTCCAAATTCTGCTACATGTTTTTCTCTTCTCCAGTAAATTTTCTCTTCGCTTTATGGGATTGGATGACAAGAATGAAGCAACACAGAGAATGAATTACCTTTATATTCACATCTAAGAAAATATTAGGTCTTAAATTCACATTCAGATACAGATTCACAGATTCGCAGAGTGGTAAGGGTTGGAAAGGACCTCTGGAAATCATCTAGTCCAACCATACCATCCTGCCAGGATCACCTGGAGTGGATCACACAGGAACAAGTCCAGGCTGCTTTTGAAAGTCTCCAGAGAAAGAGACTCCAGCACTTCTCTGGGCAGACTGTTCTGGTGCTCTCTCACCCTCACAGTGAAGAAGGGTTTCCTCAAGTTCAGGCTGAACCTTCTGTTTTCTGGTTTATGGCCATTGTCCCTAGTCCTGTCACTGGACACCACTGAGAAGAGCCTGGCCCCATCTTCCTGATACCCACCCTTTAGATATTGATAAGCATTGATAAGATCCCCCCTCAGCCTCCTCTTCTCCAAGCTGAACAGACCCAGCTCTCTCAGCCTTTCCTCATATAGAAGGTGCTCCAGGTCCTTCATCACCTTGGTGGCCCTACGTACACTTGCTTACAGGCATCAACATGATTTTAATGCTATGCCAGTTTCACAGAAGTGTAACTGTCCTAACTTGGGTAGAGTTATCACTAAACTACATAAGCTGTGCTCCCACCATAAGAAGGTTATTGACTGGTTGGAGTGAGTGCAGAGGAGGCCACGAAGATGCGCAGGGGTTGGAGCACCTCTGCTATGGGGACAGGCTGAGAGTTGGGCTTGTTCAGTCTGGAGAAGAGAAGGCTCTGGGGAGACCTTACAGCACCTTCCAGTGCCTGAAGGGGCTACAGGGAAGCTGGAGGGGACTTTTTACAAGGGCCTGGAGTGACAGGACAAGGGGGGATGGCTTTAAACTGAAAGTGGGGAGGTTTAGATTGGATGTCAGGAAAAAATTCTTCCTGCAGAGGGTGGTGAGACTCTTGAACAGGTTGCCCAGAGAAGCTGTGGATGCCCCATCCCTGGAAGTGTTCAAGGCCAGGCTGGATGAGGCTCTGAGCAACCTGGTCTAGTGCAAGGTGTCCCTGCCCATGGCAGGGGGGTTGGAACTAGATAGTCTTTAACGTCTCTTCTAACCCAAACCATTCTATGAATTCTGATTCTATACATCAATAACCACCAGCATGCAGTGAGACCAGATAACTCAGGAAACACAGGCAGTTCCCTAAGCAGAAGGTTCTCCTCTTTCATCTGGCAGACCAAAATGTTCAAGGCTTTTCCAACAGAAGACCTTCTGAAACGTACCCACTATTTTAAAACAGACAGTGATTACTTTCACATTATTGAACCAGTACCACATTTAGAGCCTGGAGAGAGCAAAGAAGGTACAGCTTATCGTGTTGGTAGAAAAAAGTGCTTTGAGGTTCCTCTTCAAAGACCTTCAGGATGTAAGTTTGGCATCACCAGGAAAAGTGCAATTTTGGAAGGTGTCCTAATATCCACAGGTCTCTAATATGGCCCCACATCTCTGCTTTTACTTCCACTGGCTTCACCTGGGTTGCAGCCAACACATGCTATGTTACTCTACCTGCCCACCTGTGAGCAGTTTTGTAACACATAATACTCCTGGAAGGAATGAAGTTATGGAGATGTACTCTCTTCTAACTATGCCTGAATTTATACAGGTGAGTACACCTGCAAGTGATGAGACCACCTCACAGTCTGCTGGCTTCTCAGTCACCTTGCTCTGCCTTACATTTGATGTTTGCTCACTGGATGTGATATGATACTCATATGTGATGTGAGGCAAAAAAACCTTGCAAAATAACAGAAAGCAGAAAAGCTAATTGGACTTTTCATTGAGAAACACCCACAAGAGCCCATCTCTCTGTAGCTTTGGAGGAGAGCTCATGTCATAATGTGTGACAAATCAGGGACAATTAAGCAAGGTGGTACACTCTAAGTACCAAAACAATGACTACAGAGATCATTTAAGACCCTTTACCAGGTCCTATAATCCTGCTTTATAATTAATTGGAAAACCTGGGAGGGGGTCATGAACTTTAGATAGCTTCTTTCCAAATAAACAAGGATTAAGTTATACGGAAGAATTCTGCCTCAACACAAACAGAAAGCCATACAAACTTTCTGTTTGCCAATTAGGTGGTACTGATCAGGAGACACAGGAGAGCATAGGAGATAGACCACCCGGCGCTGCGATGAGGGCAGATTGAATGGAAGTGTTAACAGACTGATCACCTTCATGCAGAACCCCTGACAGTTCTAAATCCACAACACATCAGGGGCATTTTAATATGAGTTTTATTCTTGCCAGTGACCCACAGTGAGGCACTGTGTATTGCTTGGCCTGTCTCCTGATTTTTGTCCCTGTCCATATAAATACAAACACTGCCTTTGTAAAGCCTTTGGAGTTCTGTGGAAAACCTTCTCCATTGCTGTCTCCAGGACACATCACCATCATTGACATCAAGGTTTGGGCCAGAGGCATTGTCCTTTTCCTGTGCCTGAGCTTCAGCAGACACATTCAAGCACTGTGCAGCATATTTAGCACCTGTGCCAATGGTTTGCTCAGTATGAGCCTGGCAGTGACAGCCAGGACCAGGGGAAGGGATGTACCCGGATTAAGCCGCCACTTCTGTCACATTTGCTGTGGAGATGAGAAGGAGGGTATTTTTAACAGAAGATACTTCCCCTGTTGGTCTGGCAAAGCCCAAGGCTGGTGACCTTTCAGACTCAGTGCAAACCCCATCTGTCTCCCCAGGAGATGAAGGGTGTTTAAGCAATGCAGGTGATGACACTTTGTTGGTGTCAGTCTTTGAGACGGTTTATTTTGTCCTAACTAAACCAGATATGTGCAATCTTTTGCTTCCAAGTAAATTGTCCATGACACACTGAAAGATTTGACATAGCAAAACATCCCAACAAACATATAAGTTAAATACCCACAACCTGCATCTGAAATTAAGAAAGGCAAAAAAAAATGATTTATTATATAAATTCCTCCTAGAAAAAAAATTAAACCAAATGACAAATAAATGAGATCCCTTGGGAAAACTTGCCCTCTCTTTCCTCCTTGAAAATAGAGCAATGTAACATAAAACAAGGTTGCATTTTTTACTAGGTAAGGCGGTAACGGATTATAATCAAGGCCACATGTTCTACTTGCACAGGCCTTGGGAGGTCTGTCACATTAGGTGATACTGTCAGCAACCTTTCAGAGGAGCATTTTAGCAAACAAAGACAACATTTTCCTATGCTGACCTGAAACAACGCAGTCATGAGTAATGCAAAGCCAGCCACCTTTTAAAACCAAAATGAATTACATGTGAGAATGAGACAAAACACAGCAGAAAACAGCCACAGGTAGTGTGGACTCTGTCTGCAGGACTCATCTCTCTCTCAACCTGGCTAGAATTGCTGTGAGAGACTCTACACAATGCAACAGGACCCATAGCAACTGTCTGACACCCTTCCAGCAACAATAGGTGACTAAGAGGTATCTGCTGACTCTTTGAGAGGATCAGGCATCTGGTGCCATCTGAGATGCATTACAGTACCTGAGACATCCCCAGAGGACTGTCAGGTGTGTGGGAGATGCAGGAGAGGCACATGCCCTCCTGCAGTGCCAGCTGAAAGCTACAGGACTTGGAGAACCTCAAATCCGCTGAATGTCTATACCTGAGCAACAGTTGGGCCAAAGAAGGTAACTATTGGCTTCCTGGCTACTAGAAAGTAGCGGGTACCTTCTGCAGGACAGTATCTGCAGATATATGATGTGAACTAGGAGTGAGTTTTACCTGGTTGACCCTGAGCTTAGCATGCATTTTTTGTTACATGAAATTTTTCAATGGTTTAAATCACTCTTCAGGGTTTTTTAGTGTTCTGGGAAAAAAAAAGATGTTCAGGCTATACATGGCTTTAATGAAGAACATTTTTTCACAACAGAAGTTTAGCTTTTCTACTAATGCACAAAGTACTTGTGTATCTGTCCAACATCAAACCAGTTTCTTACACAGACATCACAACTAAAGCCAAGTGAGAGCTGCTATACTCAGTTACACTCCTGATTCCAGAAAGTAGCACAACTTGTTTCTAAAGGCACACAGCCTTTGAACACCAAAAAGCTGGTTGTTGTGAAGACAGGTACCCACAAGGTAATGTAGACTTTCATGCATAGTGACTAGATGTACTTTTGAAACCTATTTGCAAAACCCACCCTGGAAACTAAGAGCAGGCTCGTGAAGGAACCACATTCACATTTGCCAAAGGGCCCATAATTTGACAGAGTAGTCCTAAGTACAACTGACCTGGTGCAGGGCTGGAGCACATCGCAGATATGCCATGGCCCCAGTCTGCAGGATCTCTGTCCACTCATGAGGGTCTCCCCCAAGCACTGCCAACCCCTTGGTGCAGGGAGATCAAGCTGTCAGCCACAGCAGCACCCTCCAGCATATGGTGGATCAGCACAGAGATTCTGAGCCTATCCAGAGAGCAGTACAAGGTGTGTAACACATTCACTTTTCAGATCTGATCCAGGCATAGGCAATCAAGCTCATTGTCTCCTATGAACCTCTCCAGAAATCAGTGTTCATATAGACCAGGAGGGAATTATATTCCAAGCTCCATTGACAAAAATCCAAGTTTTAGGGCCATCTCAACAGGTCTCTGCAGTACAGGCAGTTTCCAAAGGCAAAGTGCCTTTCCTACAGTATCACAGTAGGAAGAGCAGCATGAAGACCACTACCTCCTTATTAAGAGAGCTAAACACTTTATCTTTTCTGACCCAAGAATGCAGCCACTCACATCCAAAGACAAGCGGGATACAGAGGAGCACGCAAGCATGACTGAGGCAGCAAGAGATGACCACTGAGGATCCAGGGGCCAAGGAACCCCAGAGTATGGTGTACCTTCATGGTTTGCACACACATTTGTTTCAGAAGTTATCCTTGGGATAACTAGGATAACCTTAGGAGTTCAGCAGCTACAACAATCTTCATTCAAACTGTTCCAGGAATTGAACTTATGACAGAGGGGAAAAAAAAATGGAAACTGCCATATGTCAATGAATATAATGGATTCCAAGGTAGGGAGGCAATTTAGAAATAAATCCTTAGCAGGTTAAATTGATGCATCACTAAGGATGTGGGCCACCACTGCAACGTGCAAATTGTTTGTGCAGAGCTCACAGTCCTACCTGAATATCAGCTGTTGATTTTCTACCAGTTAATTAAAGGTGATTTGCAGCTGAGCGTGCAGGTCAGACAAGGAAAAAAAAAAGTCGGTTTTGTTGTTCTTTTTTATAGTTCATTTTTCTGCTAAAATTATATCCAGGCATTTTGTTGCACAGTATTCTGTTCCTTATAAATGCCTTCAAAACTGGAACTTAAAGGCACTGAAACCTGTTAAGCGCAATACAGAGTTTGTCACATTAAGGATATTGCTCAGCTGGTCCCCATACCCTGCCAGCCTCGGCTCCGCTTCCTGCACCCAGTCTGTGGCACTGGATTCCTTGCTGTGTGAGAGAGGTGATTTGTGCCATTTCCAATGTGCTCCATGTCAGCTTGATGGGGATTCTCACATACAGCTATGACTTCAGGGGTGATGAGGAGCAACACCACCTCAAAGTCAGCCCCCAGAGACACGAGCATTGACAGAGGATTATACGCCGAGGAAGGCCATCAAGCAGCGTGCGCAGGACCTTCCCCTTATTGCGCTCTGCATGGCCTACCTTGCTACGCAGGTCCGAATGTTAACAGGTTGTGATTATTCAAGTATGTTTGAATGCATTTTCACCTCATGTTTTTGCGACGTAGCTTCTGACCAAAAAGGGATGCTTACTTGTTTGTATCATTATTGTCATGATTGTGCATAGTATTTCAAGAGCCTTACTCCTCAGAAAACAGTAAGATTTGCTTGGGTCTTTCCAAGTTATTTAAATGGTAAATATAATATATACAGTTTAGTTTCAAAGAACAGGAAACAAAGATGAAAATATACGTCTCTCTCATTTCTCCCCATGATACTCACTGAGCAGTTCTGCATGAAGCCAGAACAAAAATCAGTAAGTAGCAACCCAAAAATATTTGGCAATGACCTTCAGTGCAAAGAAACCCATGACAGCACTTCTGCTTAGAGCTTTTCAAATCTTTGCTTGTGGCTTGACTTTCACAGGATGCTGCAAGCTCCACGGACAGGACCACGAGGTGTCAGGGTGGGGTGCCTCTGCTTGAAGACTGACTTCGTAACAGCCGCCCTCCACAGGCTACCCCAGATGCACTTTATTTAGAGATACACTTTATTTTCATATAGATTTAATTACAAAAAGGTGGTTCTACTCACTGAATGTTCGGATGACGTCGCTCGGTGCACTGGCAGGGCTGGATCCGTAGGTGTTTGCTGCTCGGACGGCAAACTGATACTTGGTATTTGGGAGAAGTCCCTTGAGAACCATGGATTCCATCTGGATCTGCTCTTTTATTACTGTCCAATTGCTGTCAAGATCTGGCCTTCAGGATCAAAAAAAACCCCCAGATCATAAATAATTAAAGCTGGCTGTAAAAATTAAATGCCTTTGAACTTCCTTGGGAAATACACAAAATAAATGAGATATAAGCCTGTTAAATCATCACTGAAATCCTTCACTTCTAACGGGCCAGACTGTGCAACCTTTACTAAGCTGCAAAACCTGTGATATCAAAAATATACAGTGATACAAAACCAATATTCATATTTTGCTCATAAAGACAAGGAGGTCCCTTAGAGGACAGATAGACAAATCAAGTTCTGTTTATCTGTATTTTTGGATTTGGAGTTCACAGTTTTTAAGCAAAGCTATATTGCTGCAGTTCCCGTACTCCTATTTGACTGTATAAAGCAGTACTTCACAACAGAGGGTAAGACCTGGATTTATTTCTAAGAGTTTGTGCTCTAATGCTGCCACTCAGTCCCTTCAAACATATATGAGAATTAGCAGGATGAGAATCTAACATCTGACCTCTTAGGTAATCAGGTTCATCCACCCACACTGGAAAATCTGGATCAAAAGTCTTCTTTTCAGAAAAAAACCCAAACCAAAACAGCCCAACAATGCAGAATTCTATGTATATGGGTTTTGCAACAAAATTGCTATGTCTGACTTTGCAAAATGCCTCGTTGACTCCTGATTCATACTGGAAGCCAACTGCCAATAAATGATTGCTCTAAGTGCCGTTATAATCCAGTACAACCATTCACATGGCAGTTCGATCTCTAATGTTTAAGTTTGTACCCAGAGGGATATCAGAAAGCGGAAGGCTACTTCAGATACTTTGTAAGAGTATTTAGATGCTTTCACATGATATCTGCTCTCTCTAGAAGTGGTCTCTTCTCATCAAAGAGAGAACAGAATGAGAAGGTAAACAAATACAAACAAAATAAAAATGTAAACATTTAAGTCTAGGCCACTCAAAATATTCAGATTGAAACCTATCAAAAGAAAACAGGGATAGATATTACTTTCAGAGAAATTATTCCAGTGTCCTTTTCTAAGATGTCCTTGTGATATTTATTACAGGAAATAACCTCCAAGTGCTCCCTGAAACTGCCAGTGTTTACATAGGACTAGCTGCAAATGTCTCCAACAGTCTTCCAATGAAAATTATAGCACAACGCAGGCATTTTGTATTTGTTTATTTGCAGCTGGAAGGAAATGCCAAAGTTAATGTATGTTTTCTTTTACCAGCCAATACAAGATTTATTGATCACTAAGGTTTCATTGCTTTGTGCCAGCAGGGCCAATGCAATGACAGAGCAGCAGCTCCCAGCTGCCTGGCTCCTGTGTGTAATGGTACACAGCAGGAGAATATTTTGTTGTCTTGTTAAAAATAAAAATTAAATCAGACAAATGAACAAGATGCAATGACATCTAAACAGACCATCTTAAGTCACCCTGCACCACCATTTCCTGGGACACAGAAGGGCATTTATTTTAGATAACCCTTCTTTGTTTCCCTTCTCTGAGCCTGGGCCAAAGTGAGAATGTAGTGTTTTCCAAATGAAAGCTGTTAACATCACTTCCTTCCATATGCTTTGCTCAGTAGTGTTTTCAATTTTCCTGTACGCATCTTTCTTTGGCTCTAATTCCAGTTCAAGGAATTCCTGCTAGTTCCAGAGCTGCCTCACAGTCTCTTTGCAACAGATCCTTCTGATGTCTGTGCCCGAATGGAAACACACGCCTCTGAGGAAGGGACCAAAGGAGATACTGCACTCTATGAAGATTTAGGAGACAAGACAGACTGTAAACTAGCCTTCAACATTGCTGTCCCTTGCAAGACTTCCTTCTGCAGAAGTGAACAATGAGTCTGCAAACGTGTAAGCATCTGCAGCTAAAGG